TAAGTTTTCTTCAGGTTTTACGACAGATGAAACACCTCACCTGTAACAGTTCCGTTAAAAACAAATGAATGAAACACACTAACCTGGCTCAGCTTTTCCAGTAATGTGTGTATTAGGACACATCAGTATCAAACTGTTACATTAACTGAAACATATATTAACTGAAATATGACACAAGATAAAGTCTGGAACAGCTGCAAAAATGATGTTTCATTATGGCAAAACTGGTAATTTAAAATCGTATGTTCCACTTTTTTTCTGTCAAACTGCTCACGATTTAACACACACTGAAAAGCTTGTCCCTCTCCTAAACCCTAATATTAATTTCATACTCCTTCCTTCTCCCCACATACAGTTGAGGACATGGAAAAATGACGGTATGTACTGTATGCCCCTACCCTTCCTTTCTAGTCAATGGAAAAAATAATTTAGTAATGCAATGAAGAAGGGCTTCTCTCCCAGTGAGAAGCCTAAAGTTAAGTGGGGCCATCCTGATGTGTCAGGACGCTGCTACAGCAGCTGTAGGGCTGTTTGTGCTCAATAGGAGGGTTGTTTGTGCTTTTGCAAACAGTACTAGCTACACTAAGAAATATTGGTAAGAGGACCAACCACGGTACTTAGCATCAGACATTAATTTACATTAGAGCTCTCTGCAAGTCATCTCGCTCAACTGTCGTTCTGTAGGAGAAGGGATACATTTTAGATACAATTTTCTAAACAACTAGTCAAGTGATTGCTTGATCAGCAAGACTCACATAGGCTGCTCTCCTACTGAGTCCTCTACCTCACCCATAACCTCAGCTGCTTCCCACATGCTCCCACTCTCTTGTAAGCTTCCAAGAACGCTTTTTCCTCCCGTCTCCTTTTAGTCGTGTCCCCAAACTGCTGATTTGGGGTTGCTTGGTTTGGAGCTGTGTGCATCCTGATCCACTAGCATGGTAACAGCTGAGCTTTTATTTTTCCAGTCTAAGCACAAATCTGGATGTCTCTCAGAGGAGTTACTGGCAGCATGAGGTTTACTAGTTTTAACACATATTTTGGTAAGTCAACAGCTTCAGAGAATTTTTAGATACACCAAAATCCCACAGTCTAGCTTGGTAATGAAATGAAACTTCCCTTTAGAGAAGCTGCCAGCTGTAGTTAAGACATATTACAAAAAGCCTTAATCCTAAATCTTTTTTAATTAGGTATTGACCTTACATAGTGACCAAAACTAGTATTAGTCTTCCCAGAGTCAGAGATATTTAGCTGCATAGGCATAAGGTCAGGACACTATTTTAAGTTAAGCAATGCCACTCTCCCAGGCCCTTATTTAGACATACTTCTCCAGAAGAAAAAAATTGTTGTCTTCATTTACATGAGCTATTAGAGAATAACTGCCAAAGAAAAATGTTACTGTCTTGAAAACAACTTAACTGTATTTTGTCTGTGTCTTACTCTTTGAGTGTTAGACGGTATCAGTCATCTTGATGATAAAAAACCCCCAACCACAAAATGGTACGCAATTCTAACAGCCAAGATACAAGTAGCACCTAAGCATGAAGCATACAGAAGTCGATTCAAGCATAAACAATTAATGGGCTCTTTTTATTTCAGTAAAACTAAAGCTTACAGCTTGTTAACTTGTATCCATTCAGGAAGAAACCCATAAAAAGTTGTATTAATAAAAACTGACAGGCTTTCAGGCCTCTAAATATTTTAAACATAAGATATAATAAAAGATATCAAATGTTTACATTACAGTCTTGCTGCCTTACATACCATCATAAAAAGTGAATGAACACACTCAGTAACTTCAAGCGTACCATTAAAAAGACACCACTAAGTGCTCCAGTTTTCTGTACCATACAACTTTATTTCAAATTCACATCTTTCTAGGCAATGTATCCAAAATATTTGACTCAAGCTTTGTACCTTTGGACTGTAAATATTTTGAAACAGGGCTTCAAGCCTTTCCTATGTCCAAAAAACCTTAAGTTTTATCACGTTATAAAAAGTAACCATGTGGAATGTGACAAGTCATACTGTGAAACCAAAGTGCTTTAGTCCTATAGCGCAGACAGACACTAGTGGTTATCTAGCTATTTGTCAATATATCACCAACACCACAAGAGACGTTTGCTCTGTTGCTGCCCCCCTTGCAAAGACCTCTGGACCATTATGATGAAATTTCATTAACTGACAACTAAACAGTATCAGTGGACCATGGACCAACAGTTTCACTTTGATACTTCAAATATTGAGTTATAAATGAGGCATCTTCTTACCGTTTTTCAAGTTCCCTTAGTAATTAACAAAGTACCACTGTTATTATGCAAGATAAAACTATGTTCCAGTTAGCCTTTTAAAATCCAAAGTGTGCTATATTCCAAATCCCAAAGCACTGAAACCCTCAAATTATTTCCCCAGACCCCAACAGTTATCTAAGTCTCAGTATTTTTGTGCAATTCTTTGCTATTTGCATGTGATGAGGTTAACACTTCACGCAAGAGCTCATATAAAAGAACTATAAACTCTTAAAGCAGAAAGTAAGCTTCATAAGGTTTGGAGAACGGCAGTTGTGTGGAATGTGTGCTCAGTTCAGAAGCGGCCATGCTGAAGAGAGCTCATTGCAAGTGTCCAGTTAGGAAACCTCCTTTCTACAGAAGTCTGAACTGCTATTTATCTTCCAGAGTGAAGAAAGTTTAAGACTTAGGCATTTGTCTTATTTGTTACAAAAAAATTAGCTCTATAATATAATTCTTATGATTATTACCCCCCTTTCAGACACCCCATTGTTGTGTAAGTTTACAGCTTCATTGGGAAGGGCTGAGGGAACATTTCTGGTCCTGTCCTACAGACGTAAAGACAAAGTGCTTTGCAAGACTGATTTTACCCATCACATTTGTGGCAACCAACCCAAAATAAAGGCACATGAAATCTATAGTAATATAGCTTATAAACTGTAAACTAAAGCTGAACCTCTGTATAATTCCTAGTCTTTCTGCACAAAAGTAATGACCAGCACCCACGCAGAGATTCTTTTTTTTTCCTCATGTAACTTTTCCCAGAAACAGCTAAGTGTCACTTGCATGCCTATGCAAATACTATCATTCATCAGGTTTTGACACAAAGAGCAGGAATTGGTAAACTATCTACATGGGAAGTCTGAAACCAATGAATCGCTATCACTCCCTTCCCCTGCCGCTACAATAAATGTAAGCCACCAGCAACAGCTACAGACAGCTGTTACCTTGCAAGTGCTCAACACCCAGCAGCAGTTTCCCTGTGAGGTGTTCTAGAGCTTGTGACATGCGTTTAATCAGTATCTCAGATCTGGATTTTAACATGTCAAAGCCTATCTACTTTTGGTTAGTTATCAGTCAGGCATGCACAGACATTCTGAGGAAGCCAACTTGAAACACGCTTTGACAAATGTTGCACTGAAACTGGTGGTACCTTTATAGCTAAGCACAGATGAGCTGCTACTGTGAGCAGCATTCAGGATCCAGGGTCAGCTCAATAGCTCATTCTTAAGGAAAGCTGAATCTGGACACAAATCTGCCTCCTAGATTTCACTGGAATTGCTACCTTTAAAGCAGAGAAACAAGATTCAAGGTTTCTGAAAGCTTTAGCAGACGGATAGGCTTGTCAATCAGATTAAGACTCACTAGGTTGTTAAACAAGAGTTCAAAGACTTGGTTATCACTTCTCAGGAAATACAGGTTTAAAAGAACTCAAACACCATTGCCATCACTTACCTAGAACATGTCATTAGACTGCTCTCACTCAGGATGATAAACAGGGATAGAGTTTCAGAGTTCTAATTATTCGCCTTATGTGTGAATTCACACACCTCTTTTTTTCTTTTTCTTCTTTCTCTTTTGAATTTTTTTTTTCCATTTCTGCACAGAGTCAGTTCAAGGGATTGGCACACGAGTCACTAGCGAACAGAGACCTGTAGCTATTCCATTACAGGACTGTATTAGTGTTTCATGAAGATTTCATGCAATGGTGTCTGCGCTCTTTTCTGAAGGAGAACGACTCTCACAGGTAGCACACACAACACATTTTCAGCAAATTTTCCGATTTTAAAAGCAGTGAGTTACACAAACAACATTAACAAGAGTTGACCAGACTTAATAACTAGAACTGCACTAGGTCTGGCACTTGAGAATTCACAGTGATTAAAATAAAATTGCTTTGCCTAAGACAAAACATAAGATACCAAATATATAAAAAGACTCTTTGCTTTCATTATCTTGTATTAGTATTCCAACAGCTGTAAGCAAGCTCAGTAGTACCTCAGACAGCAGAGACTTCTGCATGTGGTTAACTTTATTCATTGTTTGCAGTGCAATGGATTATGTTTTTAGAAAAATATATTCATGATGTCAAATGAGGCAATTTTCAATGCATAAAGTCAACACAAGCTCAAGTCTTTGATGGACTTAACCTTGGTTTCTGACAAGAAACCGTTATCTACCATCTCATTTTGGGGATCTAACTCCACAACGTGCAAGGTGGTATTGCTGTCAAAGAGAAACTTAAAAGTATACTTGCATATAACTGAAGTGTTCTTCTGACATAGCAAGGTGTTTGTAAGTAGTTTATAGTACCAGCTGATAATATAAGAGTAGAGCATCTGCACTTTTCTCTCCCTCATTCAACTCGCTAATCCTAGCAGATTCACTAACACAGGTTTCCAACCCCGAAGGCTGCTTTTAGAGAAAAAGGAGCACAGCTTTTAAACACTCCAGTGTTTCCCAACGCACCCGCAGCCTCTCATTTCAGCACCAAGGGCCCAGCTGAAGCAGCTGCTCTCGGGAGCTGTAAGCCACCAGAGCCCCTGCTGACACACTGGGCTCACTGACCCCACCGAACTGGGAGTTAAAGCAAGATACTCAAATCTCATCTGCCAAGTCCATGAGTGTAGATGAGCACCCACTAGTACCTGCCTCACCTTCTGACAACACCTTTTGGTCTGTGTGCCCACCTCCCAGACCTCCTGCTCCTTGGCCTTATCCAAAGACGTTGGACTTTGGCCTGAGCTTGAACGATGCTTTCAGGGATCTCTCCTCATTCTCCTCCTCCTCAGTGTCACCGCGAAAGGAGGGAGTGTTGTGGATGATCTGAGTCCTGAAGCGGATCTTGTTAAGCCTAGGCTTCATCCGCCCGCTGCCGGAGGCTTTCCTGGTCATCTCCTTGCCCTTGCCTGGCACCGCTGCCCCTTCGGCGCCCTCAGCTTCCTCCCCAGCGCTGTGATGGTGGTGGTGGTGGGAGAGGCGGTAGCTCATGAGATTGGAGGGCAACACCTTGGAGAGCCTCCAGCGCCCGCTCCCATTGCCAGCAGCCCCTTCCTCCTCCTCCTCCTCCTCCTCCAGGGCACCCACGAGGCTCCGCATATCCCCCGAGGTGCCCTGGTGCAGGTACTGGGCAGCCTTGCGCCCGCTGTAGTCGCGGATGTCCACATCGGCGTCGTAGGCTCCTACCAGCAGCTTCACCACTTCTGCGTGGCCGTGCATGGCGGCTATGTGCAGCGCGGTATG